AGCTTGTACAACCTTCCAAATATCATTTCTAAGCATAGAGAAATTTTTTCATATTATTCCCCAATTTATTCATCATGGTTGAATTTCTAGGGTTAGATATTCTTATGTTTTCAACTTGATTCAAGCATGAATTCAACCTCTAATCAACATTTCAAAGTTTCTACAATTAAACCCCTAACATAATTTCACCAAATCACAAACTACCCAAAACATAGGGTTAGGCCGAAGTAATAGATGTATTACTAGGTGGTTTTAATCATCAAACAAGCTTGGAAATGATTATACAACATCAATAAGCTCAAAATCCATAATCAATTCATAAAACCCTAACTTCATCTACCAAATTTAGGAACTAAGCATTTTAAGCAAGATTAGCATGTGAAATTGATACCAAATGCTAGAGCTCTTTAAATAGAACAATTTGTTATTTCACGTTTTAATCCAAAAACCTAAGAAATTTGTTTGAAAATGAAAAATAAAAATTTTCCATACCTTGGAGATGATAATGGCCATGGAGGAGCTTGAATACGAGTTCATGAAGTTTCTACATTTAATTTCATGAACAATTGTCATTTATTTAACTTAAATGAGTTAAAAAATCATTTAACAAGAAATGATAATTATACCCTTGATGAAACTTGATAATTACCATAATACCTTATCACATGTCAATTATCATCTTCCAAAGTCAGAGATGAACCAAAAATTGCCCTTTACAACTTTATCTATGCACTTTTCCAAAAATTTCAATATTGTCATTTTCATCCAACCGTCCATAATGATCATGGAAATTAATTCTCAAATCCAATGATCTATAATATTCTCTATCATTTTATAATGTGAAAATAATATTTCTAATCTTAATTTATCATCCTTCAAAATTTCTCAAAATTTCTATTCGATCCGATTTACCTAATTATTACGGGATTTCAACACTTTGTAGCTTTTAACACAAATTTCAAATAAAATATATGATTCCCATGAAAACGTCATTCTTGGGGTGAAATATTTATTTATGGGGTTAGAATACCTAACTTTTAAAAATTACCTTTTTGGTTCGTGGACTTTTCCAAATATTATGTTTTGGCCACTAAACTTTCAAAATTTACGCTTTAATCACTAACCAAAATTTTGGGGTGTTACAGTCTGGATCCTTTGTAATCCATATATATGTGATTTTGGTGATTGAATATACAAGGCATTTTATACATTTTTTCACGTTAAAACTCAACAAGCTTGCAGTGTTAAAACCCCGCAGCCAATATCATCAAACACCCTATAACTTAACTTTGTTGTTCCTCCCTGACATCTTGACTTATGTTTTCAACTGTCTGTAGCCTGTAGGTATCCCAAGGATTCGAAAATTTTCCCGATAAATCACCCTTTAAATGTTTATTTCCCTGTCAGACACCGTTCAGATTATATTTCCCGATCTAACACCCATTGCAGTAAGGCACGCCCCTGGAGTCGCGCTTTATGATGATTTGGCGCCACGTGGGGTGAGGCACACCCCTGAAGCGCGCCTTACACTGACATGAATACACGTCGGCTAAAGCGCGGCCCCTGGGGCACGCCTTACGCCACGTAAGGTAAAGCGCGGCCCCCGGGGCACGCCTTTGCTTTTTGCATTTTTAAATCGGTGCCTTGTCCATTATCAAAAGAAATTATTTCATCAGCATCATTTAGCCATTCTTTACGTATATAATAATAGTACTATCTGACATGGTCAACACGGCTATGGAAACCTAAAATTAGATTAAAAGTGGCTCCATCAACTCCAACGACGTCAACAAGCACGGGTTTTAAGGTGTACTGAACTAGCAACCATACGAGGATGCACAAGTCAACCTGAAAAACAAATTAAATAAACTTGTTATTATTTTGATAGATTAAATGAAAATACACAATGATTTCAACCAACATATGTTTTTTTTCAAGGTAAACTACATATTTAATTAATTATTTATTCTTCCAACTTAATTAATCATATATAATGTTATATTTTAATTCAATTCTACATATTTAATTATATTATTTTTAAATTATATTTATTATTATATTTTAATTTAATTTTAATTACTTGTCGTTATAACAATAGATAAAACCATTAAGATGATGAATTTTTTTATTTTTCAATGTCACAATTAATCTTTTAACAATATATGATTAAAACGGTACCAAAAATAACATTATATATAATCTAAAAAGAATAATTATGTGACCAAAATAAAACTACAAGAATAGATAAACTACTTGTTGAAAACATTTTGATATTTCGATATAACAAATTAAGTTAAATGAATTTTTAGATTTTCTAAAAATATTTTCTAAGTATATTCGATATAATTATTCGAACATCAAAATATTACTCCAAATCTTTCAAATGTCATTTTTAATCCTTACTCAAGTGTAAAATTAAGTTTTAGTCTTAAAATAATTTCAAAACAATTTTACAAAATATTTCGAACCATTTCAAAGCCAAAAATTCCAGATTGCTCAGAGGGAACCGATTCCCCCCAAGGGGGTACCGATTCCCCCTGAATGGTTTTGCTCCGAGAAAAACATAATGCTCGGAGGGAACCGATTCCCCCAAGGGGGTACCGATTCCCACCCTGTTTAACGGTCGAAATGTTTGAATTTTACACTTAGGGAACTGATTCCCTATGAGGGGAACCGATTCTCCCCACGCTCCAAGCTGTTTTATTAAATGATTTCACACTAAAATGGCTATATTATCTCCATTAATCATCCCCAACGTTCAGAAGTGATTCAAGGTGTATTTAAACAAGTTCTGAAGCCTTTGATCAACAAGAAATCATAGAGAAACAAGAGAGAAAGCATCAAACACCAAGTTTGTGCAAATCAAGCCAATTTTCCTTTCAATATTCATTTTGCTTTCAAGAACACCATTTGTGCTCATTTGTAATTATTTTTTGAGTGTTCTTTTCTTGTTCTAGAATTGTGCAAACATCTTACCTTGTGAGGTTTTCCTTGTAAGTTTGCAAATTTGTGTATTTCTCTTTGAAAAAGAGTGTGCTCAAGAATTTGGGGTATAATTCTTGAGGGAGTTGTAAGGTTACTCTTTGTCCTAAAAAAAGAACAAATTAGTGAATTTGTTGAAAAATCCTTCGTGTGGATAGCTAAGGTAGTGGATGTAGACTTTGGTTGAGAAAGTCGAACTACTCTAAATCGCTGTGCAATTACTTTCAATTTTCTGCAAAAGCTTCCACCAAATTTTTAATTGCCAATTCACCCCCTCTTGGCCGATTCCATTGATCGATTAACTCAACACTATTAAATAAATAATTTATTTTTTAGCCAGATTTCGTAATAAGCTCTACAAGTTGTAAAAACTCAGGAACTTTATTTACCTCTCTTTGCGCTTTTCCAAAAATCTCTGCAAAGATTTTCTGCGAGCAATTGGAAGATCTGGCGGGCTGAGATGTCTGTCACCATCTGACATAGATGTAACCCATGTTTTGGTATTGAGATTGGCGGGTTCATAAATGATACTGATGAAATAATTTTTTTTTGATATGGACAAGTTACTGATTTAAAAATGCAAAAAGCAAAGGCGCGCCCCGGGGGCTGCGCTTTATCTTACGTGGCGTAAGGCGCGCCTCAGGGGCCGCGCTTTAGCCTGCGTGTATTCATGTCAGTGTAAGGCGCGCTTCAAGAGGTGCGCCTTACCCCACGTGGCGCCAAATCAACGTAAAGCATGGCTACATGGGCGTGCCTTACTGCAAAGGGTGTTAGATCGGAAAATATAGTCTGAACGGTACCAGACAGGTAAATAAACATTTAAAGGGTGATTTATCGGGAAAATCACCCAAGGATTCAGGCTCTCGCCGATGACACTAGTTTTGATCTTTAATTACATTAATCATCAACTTTCCGGCAACATAAATTATATCGATGATTTGGTGTAATTCTTATATTAGCTCAATCGCCTGAAGCATCTAGTCGACATGCATGCCACCACTGCTCGTTTGACAGATAGCGGGACAACCTAGACTGGGATGCCGGGGCTTTCCAAGACAAAAGGAGAGATTATAATGGGAATGTACATAATTGCAACAAAATGGCTTTTCAAACTTTGTTCATCTGCTATGCAACCAAAAAGAGCCCATCCTTTTTGAATCTCCTCACTCCAACATGGGGTTTGCAATCTTAACTTTGATCGCTCTTTTTACATTTTTATTTTTATTTTTATTTTTATAATGTGCTGCTAAAGGCTGTGCCTTTATCTTTATAATGAAAAGATTATAATGTTCGGACTGAGTTCGTTTTTCATTTGAACTTTGAATGAAGGCAAAAACAGGGGAAGAATACCCCCAATCCTACCTACCGTTGGCAACAGGCCCGGCAAAGGCATCATAGCCTATCATCACATGTGCAAATATATTTTGAATGGATCACTATATCTCAGTGCATCTCCTAATGATTGCCTGGAGAGCCTAAAAATATAATCCTCGTTTATGCTTTTTGACTTTAAAATATTTATATTAGTTTCGAATTAATTTGAAGAAATGGAATACATATATATTCCACATTTATAATGAACTGGGATTCGGATATACCATTAAAAACCCCGAATCAAAGGGAAAACGCATCCTCTGATTTCGAATTCCATGCCCGAAAGTCTAGCTCAAGAACTGACAGATGTTTGAATCTTGTTCCTCATTCATTTTCTTCTCTTCTTTTTGCCTTTGTTTTTCAAATTATGATTGAAAATTCAAACTATAGCTTGTCATCTACTGAACCACAAGTCACAACTCCAATAGGTCAATGGACCCAACAACATCGACATCTACCCCACCATCGTGCCTTTAATCCCGCCGAGATTATACTTTCCTAAAATCTCTCTCTCTCTCACAGTCTCTCTCTCTCACACACACATGTATATATAGAGAGACCTTGACTCACTCCAGATACTGAAACTACTTTGTTTTACGACCACTTTTTTTTTTTTACTTCAGTATTTGTTTTCAGTTAAAGAAATGGCAGTCGATGATTCCTGCAGAAAGCCTGGAGCTGTTCCTTTTAAGTGGGAGATCCGACCCGGTGTTCCCAAGCTCCAACAACAGAAGCAACAGAAACAGAGGCAGCCGCCGCCGCTGTTGTCACCGCCAGCATCGCCTTTTATAAATCAACGTTCATTACCTAGTCCTCCGCCCGGACCTCCTCGGCAAAAGCTTAAACCCCCACCAGCTGCATCCTACTACATCCTATCCCCGGAGCCCCGAACTCACTCTTTTAGATCCACACCACCTGCCCGATCCGATAGTTTCAGGTTCATCCAAGCTACCCGACTCCGACCCGAATGTGTTTCACCCGGGTGCTTCCCAGCCCCACTGCTTAGGCGGATGGGAAGCAAGAAGAGGACCCAAAAACTCAAACCCGAACCCGATTATATTTCAGACGTGGAGATACGATCACGATGGTCGGTTTCAAGCCGAAGGTCACTTTCACCATTCTACAGCTCTCCGGCTTCATCCTTTTCATCTATTAGGTCATCGCCTCGACTCGCAACCGATGTCGAATGGGCCGGCTTTGGATTTTTTTAGGAGAAAAAATGGAGTTGTATAGTTCTTTTGCGAGAATATGAGCAATCATGCCTTTTTTCCTATAAAAGGTTACTAGCGTTGTTAAAGTTTATTTGATAGCCGAACTTGTATGTCACTTGACCATTTATCTCGATCACACGCCCAAATGCTGCTATGTCAAGGAGAAATGGAAAGTAATCCCAAGTTTTTATCATAATTTCAAGAGTGAAACTTTTCTCATTCCTTTTCTTCTTTCTCTACATTATATTATTATATAATTCAATGATTTATACACTAGTATATTAGTTTTATTATTTAATACATAAATTTAAAAAATCGAATGGAGTTGTACGAACATAATGATTTTTATGGTAAAATAATTATTATTCTTTAAGGTTTTAACTTTGAATATCATATCTTTAAACAAATAATACTATATACTTATCTTATATTAATAAAAAGGACTCCCATTATCAAAAATATGTTAATGACCATGACATTTCACAATAATTAATCGGTAACAATTTGGAGGAAGGGTTTTGGTAGAAAATAGTGGTGCAAAGTCCATATAAAAGCAACTCGGTCCAAGTGCGGTATTGATAATATGAGTATGGCTTTTTACCGAACCTATTATTTATTCCATATAAAATAGTCATGGTCGTTTGCTGCTTTAATTCAAATGTGTCATCTTAGATTATTTATTATGCAAATTCAATAAAATATAATAAAATTTAAATTGCTCACAATAGTTACGGATAATTACAATTGTATACGCTCACTTTCTCTTAAACTACGCTTTCATTAGATTCGAAACCCTAAGCAGCCCTAGTTTTCTCTATTTCTTTGCAACCCTGTAGTTTTTTTCATCTTTGTAATTAATTACAACAATTGTCTTAGGTTGGTTGTCTAACCGTCATTATTCATTATTTTTCTTTTATTTTATTATATCATACTTTTACCTTTTTTTTTGGTTTCTTTTTTTTAGTAACTCTACTGTTATATACATTTTTTCTTTGTCTTTTGACACGTTTTTTTAATCATTTTAGTTGTTTTCGTTTATCTTTTTTCTAAGGGTTGGATTTGTCATCGTCACAACTGATCAATATAACACTTATTTATTATCATGTTGATCTTCCCCTATTTTGGACCCTCAGATTGAATTTGGATACACAACTTGTGTTCTTAGTAGTTTCCCCGCATCACTCGACTTTGATGTGTAGTTTGTCAGTGATCTTTCAATAGCTTGGTCCCCTTCTATAGTTCGTTTGTTGATGACGTCAGATATGATCGTATATACTTTTTGTTTTAGTTAAATTGGTTAGGTTTTATAACATTTTTGTATGATTATTGTCGTATGTAATCTTAAGTGACTAATTTCTTTATTATATAAAAATGTCCTTGTGTAAAAGTTAAATAGCATTTTAAGTTTCTATCAATTTAAGTTTGTGGTAAATTACACATTTATTATCTAAACTATCAGTTTTGATATGTTTTAGTACCTAAACTTTTAGGTTTTTAAAAAGCATACATAATATTTAGTTTTTGTTTCTTTTTAGTACATCGCCGTTAAAAATTTAACGGGTGACTTGCACTTGACACCTTTTTATAGGTAAATTGCATCATTCATCACTCAACTATTTTCTCACTCCTATTTTGGTCATTAAAGTTTAAATTTTTTAATTTAATTACTTAACTTTCAAATTATTCCTAACTCAATTAATCTAACTTGTAAATTCATTTTTATTTTTCATTATATATTAATAAACATTAAAGAAAAAAATGTCAAGATACAAAAATTATTAATAAAATAAAACAGAGTAATAAAAATAGGAGCAATTAGAAATCATACCTAACATTTAGTTTTCATTCCACGTTAGTACCCTGTGTTCAAAACTTAACGCGTTTAGTACCTAAACTATCAATTTTGGTTCATTTTAACACCTAAACTTTCAAAAAAAATTCAAAACTTAACATTAAATTTTGAACGAGGTACTAAAATGAAACAAAAACTAAATTTGTTAATGGTGAGGGTACTAAAATGAAACAAAAACTAAACTTTAGGTATGATTTTGAAAAAGCTAAAATTCTAGGTACTAAAATGAATCAAAACTAATAGTTTAGATACTAAAAGTACAATTTATCCTTTAATTTTTTTAGATTAAATACTTAATGAGTGATGAGTGTTTTAATTTGCATATATTTTGTTGGTAAATCTTCCTCGTTGTTTATTTCATACTACTGATTTCGGCTATTTTGATTCATTTTTGTGCATGCAATTATTTTTCAAAAAACAACAATAAAATGATCAATTATGTAGTTTTTATTTTCTGGAATCATGGTTGGACACATGGGCATGAACTGGGGCATACGCGATTTGACGTGACAATATCTAGAACGTACAATCAACAACGATTTCTAGAAGACGGTCCACTCAACAACTTCTAGAGGATTGACGCTGAATTTACTTAGAATTCAAAATGCTTTAGGAATTATTTTGGATATTATTAATTATTTTGGATTATCTTTTTATTTTCTTCATCTTTAGGGTTTTAGAATACTATAAATACCCTTTTAGGGTAAAGCTTGAGATGTACTTTTTTCTCTTTTCATTTTATAAAATTCTCTTTGGTTTTTAAAGTTCTTTTTACTTTAAGTTTTTACTTTCTTTAAAAATGCTAAGTATGGTTTCTATCATGCTTAGCTAATTTTTTTTCAATTCGTCGATGGCTTAGCGATGACTCAATTCATTGAGTGAGAATTGAAAATCACTTAATATATTCGGATATCATTCTCAATTTTTTGCAAACTTGGATTGACAATCAACATTTCCTTTAAAAATCTTAACACTTTCATTTAAAAAAGTTGATGTTGGTATGGATGTTTTTGGGAGGAAGAATCAGTTGGTAGCAAGTTCGATTTCCTGTGAACACACTTAACGACGGTCCACTAAGGGAAATTGTGATTGTATTCGATTCTCATTGAGACAACATAATCCAAGTCATTCTTTTCCGGCGCTTAAAGTTGTTTTTGTGCTGACTGCGATAGATGTAGTTAGTCCAAACAAGGATTGAATTTCAAAGGTTGGCTTAAGAATATTGGTTTATCGGAGATAAAAGTAAGTTACAAAAGTTGGACCTTGTAGATTGTAACTAACATGAATCCCAAAGTAAAATATTTTTCGATGATCGAAATGAATTGAGGCAAAACAAAGCTTGATGTTATTCTTCATCATTATTGTTTTCAAATATTATTTGAACTCTTTGTTATTTTATTTTTACTTATTTTATTTTACTTATCTTTTATCACAAATCCCTTTTTCTTTTTACTACAATTTCATGGATATGAATCAACACAATTCGACGTTGGAAATTTTGAAGTCCCTGTGTATCGACCATTTCTTCTTTATATTATGTTTTCATTTGCTTCATTTGAAAAAAATGAATAATTATTTTGACAATTACGATAATTGTCAATGAGTCTATTATTTTGAGTGTAGATAATTTATTCATTTTAATATTTGATCTTAACTATGATATCTTTAAGTGGACATATTTAGACAAATATTAAGAGATAGAGGTAAATTATTTATGGAAATAAGTTTAATAATTTAGGAAATAGAAGAACAAAATCAATATTTGTATAAAAATAAACAAAAATATCGACAAATTTAAGAGTCACGTCAAAGTGAGAAAATACAAGAAGTTATTATATTAAAAAAATAATTAGTGAAATGAATTTGTTTGTTTAAGCTACCTATCAGAATCATCCAAATCAAATCCATCCAAACTTGTAGTGTCATTACATTTTGTTCTGTTTTAGTGGTCAGTAAAATTATAGAATATCTTTCCATTTTTACTCCTCTCAAAAGGTTTTGTTATATAAAAAATGGAAGATGGTTGAATCAACCTTTAATTTTGATATAATATGAATTTTTAAATGTTTTAAGTTGTTAAAATTTATATTTTATGATTTTATAAATAATTTGCCCTACACTATTTTCAAGCTTTTTTAAGTGTGGAAAATAATAATAAGTGTTATTAAGTTGGTACATACCTTATAAATATTGTGGACTTTTCAGTGGACTTTTTTGGTATCGATATCATGGTGTCGGTATCGATATTATCGATATCTATAGAATAGTATCAATACTCACATGAACAATATTGATTCCGAGGATTCAATGACTATAATTTTGACTATTAGGATGCTCGGTTTTGATACCCACTACCCGATATCGATACCAAATGTGTAGGTGATCATCAAATGCTCAAAATTAATGAATCCAACAGCTCTAATCAACTACCAACGACTCCAAACGGCTATAAATATGTTAGAAGACATGGAAGGCACTAACATTCAAATAGGGAACAACAAGAAAGTCAATTGCAAGATCAAACCAACATCGAAAGAGTTTTAGAGCTAAAATTGTCATATTCTTTGTAATACACTTGTGAGCTTCTTTGTTTATTTTTGCTCAAGTGTGCTTTGTGTGAGTGCTTAATTTGTCTTTGTGATGCTTTTTTTGTTTGTTAAATTTGTAATCCCTCTTGTGGAGAGAGTTTAATTAAGGTTTTGGGGTATAAATCTTGTGTGTTGTTGTAAGATTACACATTATCCTCAAACGTCAACATTTTTAGTGGATCGAGAAATCCTTAGTATGAATGTTAAGGTAGTGAATGTAGACTTAGTTTAAAAGTCGAATCACTCTAAATTTCTTGTGCAAAAGTTTTAATTTCGATTGCTTCCACCACAAAATTTTTAAAGGTCAATTCGCTTCCCTCTTGTCATATTTCGATTGTTCGCAATAACCAGTGGCGGAAAGTAAGAGGAACTAGTGGGGGTCATGGCCCAACAAAATTTATAAAATTACAATATAGACCCTTAAAAGTTTCAAAAAATTTAATTTGGACCCCCAAAATTTTCAAAAATTCAAATTAAATTTAAAATTTTTGAATGTTCTTGATTAAACCCCTCCCATAATTTCTGAAAAATTCTCATTAAGTCTCTCAAAATTTTAGTTA